TTCCTCTCACACCAGTGCCAAGTCAGAGTTCTTGGCACAGCTTTGGGGAGTGCCTGCTACCCTGCCATGCTACTTGTCCTAGCCACTGGGACAGCACTGCCCAGGACACAGGGTCCTTTGAGGAGGTGAGCCGGGCCAGCAGAGGAAGCAGAAGCCGTCAAGAGGTGGTGACTGGAGCGGTGCAGGCAGAGGAGCGGCGACAGATGCCAGCCTCCAGCATTCTGTGCTGGTGGGTCCTTGGGACAAACCCAACCTGAGCAGCCCTAGGGGGGCTCTGGCCATGGGCTCCAAGTCACCTCCAGAGCCGAGACTCAGGGGGGTCTGCAACGACCCAGAATAGGCAGGGTCTGGGCAGCCTCAGCATTCTGAAGATGGGGTCCTCAGGTCCATGCAGGAGTCTAGCACATGACAAAGGTGACACTTGGTGGCATTGAGGAGGGATCATCAGTAAATACCTGACAGTAGAAAAAGGACTCATTCTAAGCCAGGTGTGGTAGCACAGACCTGTAATCCCGCGGCTCAGGAGGCTGAGGCAGGAGGACCACGCGTTCAAAGCCAGCCTCAGCAACTTAGTGAGGCCCTAAGCAACTTAACGAGACCCTGTCCCTAAATAAAGTATAAAAAGGACTGGGACGTGGCTCAGTGGTTAAGCGCCCTGGGTTCAATCCCCGGTACAAAAAAAAAAAGACTCATTCTAACCCCTACCTCCCTCCTTTCATGGAAAGGAATCCAGGTGAACACACCAAAGATAGAACTTTTTTTCTTTTTTGCCAAGTTGGAATTAAGCCCAGAGCCTCGTGCTCCACCGCTGAGCTACAGCCCCGCCCAGCCCTGACCGCTCCCCCCAGTCCTGGGATGGCACCCCGGGCCACTGCATGCTGACAGGTGCCCTTCCACTGAGCTGCATCCTCAGAACGTTTTACTTCCTATTTTGAGACAGGGTCTCTTTAGGTTGTCCAGGACGGCCTTGGACTTGTGATCCTCCTGCCTCGGTTTCCCGGGTAACTGGGATCTTGGGCAGGTCCCACCTCACCAAACCAGAAATATTTTTCTTTTCTTTCTTTCTTTTCTTTTCCTTTTTTTTTTAACAGTACCTTTATTTTATTTATTTATTTTGCGTGAGGCTGAGGATTGGACCCAGACACATGCTAGGCAAGCGCTCTGCCACTGAGCTACAGCCCAGCCCAGAAATTTTTCTTAAAAGTGCAATTCAGCTTGTCCTTATTCGAAGCTTCAGGGCTTTGTGACTGAAGACTGGGGACAGTGACTCTGATTCCCTTGTCTTCCAGTGAGGAAGGAGACCCCAACAAGACCTTGGCGGACCACAGGAGCCTGTGGGTGAGAGTAAGCCACCCGGGGTGAGACTCTAGGGAGTGGTGGGGCTTGGGGAGCTGGGAGCTCGAGTTCTGTCAAAGGTGGTGGCCGTTCCTTAGCCCAGGGGGGAGCCCGGGGAATCCAGATCCTGCAGTTATTTCCACAAAAGTGGAGAGCTGGTTGGTCATTTTCTGGGGCTTATTTCTTTTTGTGGAGAAGCTGAACACTTCCTGGGTATCCAGTTTGCCCCTGGAGGAGGTAGGGGCTGTAATCCGACTGGGCAGAGCAGGTCAGGGGCCAGGTCAGGGGCAAGGTCAGGGGCGGCTGCCTGCCCTCTGTGACGTCACTCCACCAGGGTCCCTCCCTGCGGTGTTTCCAGCTCTCTCCCAGCCCCTCCCAGGGCACACAGCTGGCTTTTGTCCCCTCCAGCTGTCCTGCCCACCCTCTCGTCCCAGCCCGTTCATTCTGCAGGCCCCGGGCTCTGCCTTGAACTCTCGGGGTTGCTGGCCTTTGTGACCGCACCCCCAAGCCTCAAGGACACTCTGTCTTCTGACTGTTCCTCCCCAGTGTCCCTCTGCTTCTTGAATCTCAGATTCCAGTGTCCCCAGGGTTCCCTCTTCTTGTCCTCGTTCTGCACCCTGGTCCCAAGTGACTTTGTTTGGTCTGTGGACGGTGGTGTAGAGCCCCAGACCTGACTTCAGGTCCTCGTCCTGCCACCTAAGGCTTTTTAAGGTCCCATTTCCTCGGATGCCGTCAGGACAATGCCACTTCTCTTACTCTTGCCCACCTGTGCTGAGAATAATGGGAGCTGGCGCTGCCAGGGCCGTGCATGGGGAGAGTTTGGTCCGTGTGAACTCTCGCCGATGAGTGGACGCGGTGGTCACCTGGGGACTGATCTGCTGGGCTCAGCCAGCTCACAAAGCAGCCAGGCTGATTTTCCCCAGACACAAGCTGTACCATGGCGCAGACTTCTCACTGCTGTTAGGTCAGGGTCAGGTTCCAGGCTGTGGCCTGCCAGCCCTGGGTGGCTGATCCCTGTCCTTGGGCCATCACCTGGAAAGCCCTCTGAGACCTCTGTCATCATTATAAAGCTTGTTGCAAATGCTCCATGTGACCTATGCTATCCCCCTCCCACCCCGTGCTACAGTGGGTTGGTGTCCACCTCCGAAGTATCTCCCTCCATCCTTCCCTCCTAAAAATAATATTCTACAGACCAGAAGGTCAGGAGGGATCGGAGCGGTCACCTGGTCTTCCAGCTGGAAATGTCACCAATTAGATTTAACTGGGTCACAAAATTATTCCCTTAAAGAGCAAAGTAGTGCAGTCAAGAAGAACAGAAAGGACACACGTTTCAGAGTAAGGCAGACTTGGGTCCCACTGTGCGCCTCTCTGCTGCCCAACTCCGTGTCTCAAAGACGTTATGAATCTTTCTAGGTCTTTGCTTTCTTTTTCTTCTTTTTTTTAATACCCGGGACTGAACCCAGGGGCCCTTAACTACTGAGCCACATCCTCCCGTTTTCAAATATTTTATGTAGCAACAGGGTCTCTCTGAGTTGGTTAGGGCCTCACTAAGTTGTTGATGCTGGCTTTGAACTTGTGATCTTCCTGCCTCAGCCTCCAGAGTCGCTGAGGCATGTGCCACCATGCCCTGATTAGGTCTTGGTTTCCTCATCTATAAAATTAGGATAATGGTGACTAGCAAACAGGGACACTGAATTAGACTGTGTTTGGCCAGTGTTTGGCGTGTAGTATGTGCTCAATGAAGGCGGCTCTGGGGTGTGGTCCTGCCTGGGTGGTGGGAGGGAGATCATCTTGATTCCCAGGCCAGGCCAGCCCTTGGGGAGTGATTCCTAAGACCCTGGAACACACAGTCATTAAGCCTCCTTCAGGCCTCTATCTGGGACCCTCCCTTCCCCACAGGTCCCAGGGGCTCACAGTCTCCCCGGGGCTGCAGTCACAGGAAGTCCCCTCCCCCACCTAGTGGAGACTGGAAAGTGGCCTTCTCCCAGGGATTTGGAATCCCCGGAACAGGCTCCTAAATAGTGTGGAGCAGGATGGTGGCAGGGCCATTGCTGGGGCAGAAGCCAGAAGCCATTGGCTCTTCTCTATCATAGCCACAGTAGCAAATTCTGCCTCCCTGCCTCCAAGTACTCTCCAGAGCTGACCCCTTCTCCCTGCACCGCCCCTTTCTGGCCTGAATGCCATCCTCTCTTCCAGGGGTTTGGCAATGCTCTCTTGAGGGGCCCCCTGCTCAGCCCCGGCTCCTTTCCATTACTCTCCCTCCAGGTTGACCCTGTTGAACGGGAAGCCAGGTCCCATTGCCCCAGTTCCAAACCTGCTCACCTGCGTCTCCCTCCCCTGTCCCATAAGGACCTCTCTTGGCCCCTCTGCTGCTCCAGAACAATTCAAGTTTAAGGGCCCCACTGGGAGCCTCCACCCGGAAGGCTCTTCCCTGGAGAGTTGTCCCTGTTATTAGGAGGGCCTTTCTGGATCTCTCCCTCCTGACCACTGGCTGGCTGGCTCACTGCCTCCTCAGGCCCTCTTCCTCCTGTCCTTGTCCGCCTACATATGTGGGGTGTGTGTGCCTGTGTGTGTTTTAGTGACGCTGGGAAATGAACCCAGGGGCACGGTACCACTGGGATACATCCCCAATCCTTTTTATTTATTTTAATTTTGAGACAAGTTCTTGGTAAGTTTACAAGGCTGGCCTCAATTTTGCTATCCTCCTGCCTCAGCCTCCTGGGTAGCTGGTATTACAGGAGTGCACTAACAGAGCACTGCCATCTCCCAGCTCTTGAGATAGCAGTTTCCTTTGGGGCCACAGCAGGGCCTAGCTCCTTAGAGGTCCAGGATTTGTGGCTTGAAAGAATGAATAAGTCGACAACTACCTGTAATTCCCCAAGTCTCTCCTGCTGAACAGTTTAATCCCAACAGCCTAGGTGCCGAGAAAGGTTAGGAGACTTGTCAGAGAGCCACTCGCCTGAGTCCCAAACCCCAAGCATCCCTGGCTGGGGGAGGCACTGGGGGCTGGGCTCACAGATTCTGGAGGGACACGGCCACCAACCCGAAGTACAGTGAGAGACAGAAGCAGATGGATGAAGAACACGAAACAGGTGCGGAGAAAGGGGTTCACTGTTGGACAAAGAGCGGTGCAGGCATCTGGGGGCCCAGAAACAACCTGAGGGTTGGAGGAAGGGGCTGGAAAAGGCCGGGACATTTGAGGTAGACCTGGAAGCAAGGGCTGGAGTTTGCCCGGAGACAAGAGGCCCAGGAGGCGGGGCCGACATGGAGGGATCAAAGGAAGCGATCTGAGAAAGTGGGTTTGGAAGAGAAGCCAGAGAGGGTATAAGGGTGTCAGAGTCCCTCAGAGCCCGGGCCCAAGGTCAGCAGTCAGCGCAGGGGGCTGGCCAGAGCCCGTGGCGGCTAGGGGCTGGCAGGAGGTGGCCGGTCTAACAGTCTGAGGGCGACACCCGCAATCACTCCCCACCACACACTCTGGGAATCCGCGGGGCCCACCGCCGCCCCAAGAACGCCGGGGGCGGGGCCCGCAGATTTCTGCAGGCCCGTCCCTAGGTGAAGTCACCCACGGAGGCGGGGCTCGGTGAAGTGGGCGGAGCCCCACGCGAGGGGCGGGGCCCGACGGAGCCCTCGGCCCCGCCTCGGGAGGGAGGCAGTGGAGAGAAGACCGGAAGTCCGCCCGCTCCTGGCTCCCCTCAGTCCCTCCCTCGGCTCGGTGCGCAAGGTCGCGCCCCGGAAGTAAAGGGGCCATGTTGATGGGTGACCCCGAGAGAGGTACCGGGCCAGTGGCGAGTCCTGAGGAGTGGTAGCGCGCGGCCCGCGGTGAGTGAGAGCAGGCGTAGGGGCCGCCGGGGGCTGCCTCCGGCCCAGCCCGCCCTGAGCCTCCCCCCGGCCTCTCGGTGGCTCGTCCCGCCTCATCTCCCGGGTCCTCCAGGGGTCTCGGCGTCGGGGGAGCGAGCGTGGACCGGCGGGGCCGCCGCGCGTCGCCCGGCGCCCTTCAGGAGCAGCCCGCGGGTTGGTGGCTCTCTTCATCGGGCACCTCCCGTTTCCTGCGGCTTGTCCCGGGGCCCTCGGGGTCGCGGGGGTGCCTCTGCAGCTGAGGGAAAGGGGACAGCGACGGTGGCTGGCCCGAGCGCGCTGGGAGGTCGGCCAGGCTGGGCTGTGGTCGACTCGCCGTGGGCCCCAAGTCCAGATCGCCCCTCAGCCCCGCCGCTCCCCCGTGTCTGACACGCGAGGTCGTTCCTTCCGCGGAGGCACGTCGCGAACCCCGAGGTCGGGCGGGTTGAGCCGGGCAGTGCCGGCGCTGCGCTGGGGAAGTTCAGGGCGCCCCGAGAGCCTCGCAGGCCTCCCTGCACAGCTGTGGGTCCTGGGCGAGCCACTTCCTCCGGGAGCTCCGCAGCCTCCACTTACACGGGATAACGTGACACTGGGGTTGCTGAGGGAGAGGGGCCCGAGTGGGAGGTGCTTAGAACATGCCGGGTGGAGAGTCGGGATCACTTGTTAGGAACGCTGACCACCTCCTGGCTCTCAGTTTAGGTGTAATAATGGATGACAAAGCACTTTACTCCATCCCTGTGTGGGGCTTCTTGTTACTGTGGTCCGTGTGTAACTAGTGTGTCAGGGACCATCAGCCTGGAGGTGGCACCGTGGTAGCTGTCCTGATAGGCTCTGTGTGTGCCGAGAGCTGCTGTAAACATACTCACACACTTTTAAGTCATTTAATACTCAGACCAACCATCTGGGCAAAAATGGTCTCTCCTCACTAACAGATGAGGAACTAGGCAAACAGAGAGGTTAGGGAACTTTGTCCAGGTCATGCTGCTCATAAGTGGTGGGCCCAGGACTCAAGTGTGGCTGAGTCCTTACCATCAACTACGCTAGACCATGGCCATCTACTTAACAGGTGCTTTACATGGCAGTTCTCAAAATAACCTTATGTGGTAGGTACTGGTACCATAATAGCATCATCTCCATTTCATAAGTGAAGAAGCTGATGCTCAGAGGGGCAAGTATTTTACCTAGAGTCATATAGCAAGTAAGTGGCAGAGCAATATTCCAGCCCAGGCACAGACCAGGATCTGAGCCCTGGTGAGCCACACTCTGGACTTCCCCAGGAGGTAGTGTTGGGAGGCTGAAGTCCAATCCTAGCCCTGCCACAAGTCACAGTGTAACCTTGGAAGTCCGAATCTTGGATTGAAAACCTGATCTCGCCGGGAGTGGTGGTACACTACTTTTGTCCCAGCTGCTTGGGAAGCCAAGGAGGGAGGATCACAGGCTGGAGGCTGGTTTGGACAACACAGTGAGACCCCATACATAGTCTCTGTATGCTCTGCTGTCATTAATTCTGATTCTAGGCTTTTATATCTTCCCTCTGCTTAGAGTGTGACGCCCAACCCCTAAAGTCCCCCATGGCCCCGTGGAGCCGAGAGGCGGTGCTGAGTCTCTATCGGGCTCTGCTGCGCCAGGGCCGAGAACTTCGCTACACTGATAGAGACTTCTACTTTGCCTCCATCCGCCGTGAGTTCCGGAAAAATCAGAAGCTAGAGAATCCTGAGGCCCGGGAGAAGCAGCTGGAGAAGGGCCTCGTCTTCCTCCGCAGCAAACTAGGGGGGCTTATTTAGGATCCTCTCTTTCCCCTCCCACTCTAATTTCAAGGGAAAGAGGACAAAGGTGCCTTCTGTAGACATTCCTGCTCTCTTCCAGCCCCTCCTCACAGATGCATTAAGACTCCTCAGGTAGGTCCTTGTTCCTGTAGGTTTCTTTCTTCTTCTTCTTCTTTTTTTTTCTAATATGGGGGACCAGGAAAGGAAGAACCTTTCCTTTGTGACCAGAGCCCGCCCTTTGATCCTTTGAAATCAGTGGAGGAAATGGACAAGTTAATAGAAGTGGGTTCTCTTATTGAGAAAAACAGGACCTGAGTTTCAAGTCCCACCAGAACCATTTTATCACAACTTTATTTCATAGAACACTTTATATATAAAAATGTTAGGAAAGACGTTGGTTAATACCATTTGAGTTCAGCTTCAAGCTCACCTGTTCTTCAGTTAGATTTAGGTATACTGTGGGTCAGATCATGCTCTGGAAGATAGCTGTTCTGTTACAAGACAATTTATAAAGCAAGCATAGCATACAGACTGCAGAGTTCAAAGATTGAGATTTAAATCCTGGCACTGCTGCTAATGACTGTGAGGCTTAGGGCATGTCACTAAACTGTTCTAGGCCTTCATTTCCTCATTTGTAAAGTGCAAATAATAGTACCTCCCTCTTTAGGTTCCATGAGAATTGAATGAGTGCGCACACAGCACTGGGGATGCTATTGTGAGGGGTGTGCTAGCTGTCTTTAGCTCTCCCAGTGTTATTAAGAAGTCCCACTGCAGTATAGTGATCATATTTAATTCAGCAGCCTTTCCGGTAGGCCTTGTATAGCCCTGGCATTCTGGTGGGCTCTGGGGAGAGAGATTAATGATACGGCCCATCAAGGAACTCACTCTAAGGAGATCGGTGGGAAGTAATTCTAATGTAAGCAGCTCTATCCTTGAGGGTTGTAGGAAGAGTTGTGGAGACAGTGAAGGCACAGCTCTGCCTTGGGCTGTGTGGTGGGAGGGGATCCCAGGTGGCTATAGAAAAGAGGACATTTGAGGTGTACCTTATATGAGAAATAGAAACTCATCAGACAGGGGGATGAGAATAAGCAGGTGCCTGGACATGGGAACTGCATTTCGTAATGGCTAGAAACATCTGTAAGGCACGTGGCTGGAGTTGAGGCTGGGCCAGATCTGGAAGAACATTGTTAAGGACTGTGATGGGACCATCACAGCTTTGTAAGAATGCAGTGACATTTGTGTCTTGGAGCATGCCAGGGTGATGTGGAGAGTAAACTGGAGAGAGAAAACAGAGGCACTGAATCTGGCCAGATGGATTAAACGGCTAAGGTTGTGGTGGATGGTTAAATACAAATACAGCATGTACAACCGGGGCAGCGCAGTCAGTTGGCTGAGGCAGGAGGAGACAGAATGAAGGGTAGCTGTGGTCTAAGGCTTATCAGTTGGGTAGAAGGTGCTGTTTTGGGTAGAGATGGAAATCAGGAGGAGGAGCCTTATGTAATGACTTTTGGTTCTCATTAGCCATGTACATTGATTGGCAGAACTGCCTTTGGTAATACAAGGTCAGGGGTTGGATGATGCCCCTGGGAGCCTGCTTGCACAGGGAGGGGTAGTGGATATGGAAGGGAAATAGCAAATTATTAAAGCCTCTGTGTTCCTATTCTGTTTTGACTCTGAGCTACACTATATCTTGCTATCACAACCCACTCAAAAAAAAAAAAAAAAAGAAAACCTTCAGGTTAAGAGGGGTTCCTTATGGTTCATTTATACAATGGATATTCACTATGTTAAAAATTGTACCCTAAGTCTGGGCGCCATGGTTCATGCATGTGATCCCAGCAGCTTGGGAGGCTGGGGCAGGAGGATCATGAGTTCAAAGCCAGCCTCAGCAAAAGCAAGGTGCTAAGCAACTCAGTAAGACCCTGTCTCTAAATAAAATATAAAAAAGGGATGGGAGTGTGGCTCAGTGGCTGAGTGCCCCCACCCCCCGCTGCAAAAAAAAAAAAAAAAAAGATTGCATCCTAAGGACACAGCAGTGAATGTTCCCAAGAAAGCTGGTGGTCTAGTAGGTAATAGAAGAGATGTGAACAAGGTGGAGTTTGGAAACTGTTTGGGTCTCCCATAGATTAGTTCTCCCTAGCAGCATAAGCCTTAGGTTCAAATCCTGGTGCACAATTTATTGGTGTGGTATGTTACCATGGGCCAGTTATTTAGCATCTGCCTCATTTTTTTCATCTTTAAATTGGAGATAACAGTATTACTGACCTCATAGGATTGTTGTTGTGAAGAATTAGTGTGTGTAAAGTGCCCAGCACAAGGGCTCACTTTCCTATCCATCACAAAGCATCATGAGGGACACTCTAGGAAAACACAGATCAACAAGACAAAAGCATAATAGATTAATCAAAGTTTTATATGTGCACAGGAGCCTTCATAAGGAAGGCCCAAAGACCCAGGTTAAATTACCCGTTTTTATGCTTAGGTTCTTGGAAGTGTGAATAGCTGTGCAGAAAAATGACTGGACAGAAAGTATGATTTACAGTGATGGATGGAGAGGGGAAGCCCAGCAAGGCTGCCTGGCCTTGTTACCTTTGGCTCCTCAGCTGTAGCATCTCCTCCTGTGGCTCTTTTATGGAATGGGAGGGGGCGTGTCTTAGGACTGTAGTCAAAAGAAGGTCAGAGAATGTTATTGCAAAAAGATGGGGGAAAGATGGAGTAATATTTTTAGGCTTTAATGCTGGCTTTTGGGTTCTGGTTTCCATGACTTGCCTTAGAGAATGAGGGGTGAGAGACAGGAGGGTGGGGAAAGGTTAGAGGGACTTTGTTCCTGAGGCTTTCACTTTGGCTGTCAGGAGCCTCCACATGCTATTAGCTCTTCTCATGTATATGCCAGACGTATTTATAAAAAAGCCTATGACTTTCAAGTAAACTAAGTTGGAAAGTTCATAGCTCTGACCTTTCAAGCTAGAATGCTGCAAGACCCATCGTCCTTACTATCTTGAGTGATGAGTGTTTCTTTACCCATTTTTGTGTCTAGGGAAACAAGTAAAACTTGCCCAAAATGTTGGCATACCTAGTCCTGGCCATCAGCTCAGAGTTCCTTTTTTTTTTTTTGTCGGGCGGGGGAGGGTACCAGGATTGAACTCAGGGACACTCAACCACTGAGCCACAAGCCAACCCTATTTTGTATTTTATTTAGAGACAGGGTCTCACTGAGTTGCTTAGTGCTTTGTTTTTGCTGAGGCCGGCTTTAAACTCATGATCCTCCTGCCTCAGCCTCTCAAGCTGCTGGGATTACCGGCATGTGCTACCATGCCTGGCTTCTTTTTTTGTTTCTTAAACTACTTAAGCATTTAAGTATACACTTCAGTAGTATTAAGCTTACGCACATTGTTGTGGAACAGATCGCCAGAACTTTTTTCATCTAGCAAATCAAACTAAACCTATTAAACAACACTGGTCCTTTAGTGCCCTAAGGAACCATGCCCCACCTCCTTGGAAGGTGGAGTTCCTCTCAGCTAGTGGGCTGCAGGTGGATTCAGCAGAACCCGAGTGCAGGATGTGCCATGGAGAGCAGTTTCACCAAACAGGTTGAATTAAGTTAGAATAAGGATGGCATCTCTTTGTAGGAGCTTGTGAACGCTCTTTCTCCTCCAGGTTACCTGATCTATGATGTCACCTGGTCCTTGGATGGGGTGGGGGCATTGCATTAGGGCAGGAGAGTCTTCAACAAGCCTGCTCTACTTAATAGTTTCAATCTGAAGCCCAGGATAGTTTCAGCATGAGTTTTAGAGGCCAGTGTAGCTCCACCTGAAAAGATGCAGATTGCCTTAGAGGACAGGTGGGACTGTCGAGTGCTTCCTGGAAACTGACCTTGTGTCCTGTAGATGGGAATCTTAAATAACTTAATGACAGCCCTCATTTGTGGAACATGTTTACAGTTTATAAAATGTTCACAGACAGCATTGCAACAGAGTTTTTTTCCTCACTGCAGCCTGTGATTTGGGGCCATGTGGGGATCATTTTCCCCTTTTCATAGCTGAGGGGTTAAGTAACCATTTGCGGTCACCCAGCTAATTAGTCAGGGCTCTAGGCAAATTCTCAGTCTCACGATTTCCTACTGTAAAGCCCATGTTTTTGTTAGAATACCATGCAATTGCTGGAATGAGTATAGTCAGAAGTATTTCTTTTTTGAGGGGCACAGAAGGAAAGGCAGGGGCATGAGATGTGACACTAGTAATATCCTGTTGTTACAGGGTATTGAGAGAAATGTGATCTGATATTGGAAGATACCACATGGTACACAATTTCATTTTTCCGGGTATTTCCTGTAATATAGGTCACAGGCAGTGGGAGAGAGCAGCAGGCTGGGAGCAGGAGTCAGGTATGGCCCACAAGGCCCTCCTTTACTAGGGAAAGGCTCAGGGCTACTTTAATCAGGATGATTCCAAGATGTAGCCCGGAAGCAAGTGTGTACTTGCCTTGCTTGAGCACCAGGCAGGAGGCCTCTTCTGGTTTGTGTCATGTACACTTTGTGACTGTGTTTTGAGTTCACAGGACATTTGAGCAGATGGCTGGTTGGTTGGTTTTGTTTTCTAGTCTACAGCTGAGACTAGAGTGTTGTGTTTTTTTTCTTGGCATTACCTGAGCTTTGGTAGTCCCACTGTGTATTTTCCCCAAGAAACAAGCATTTGTCAAGTAGCAGCATTCACAGAGTGAAAGAGATCACTTTCTCTCACATGGACTTGTAGTTGTGTTTCTATGTACAGGGTGTTTGGTCACTTTTGTGTTTATAACAAGGACTGACAGTGAACTTCATGCTCTCTGATTGCAGATCATGGGGCGTTTTACCCACAGTATACATGGTCAGTTTCCCCTCCCTTGTATCCAGTTATATCATAAGATCTGGTGCCTTTCTTTAGGCCCTAGTGCTTGAGTGCTAGAGGCAAGACCTGACCTTGACAGGAGAGCGGGCACAAGGCGCATGGTTCCTGAGGTCCCAGGTGGTGATAGCTGTG